GAGGAATGGAATGCGCAAGGCAAAGGTATAACCTAGGGCATTTCATTTCACCGGTCATAGGTGTGCAGAGAAGTTTATGACCAGGTTTAGGATAGATGGCCGTACTATTAAGAGGGGCAAACTTATTTGCATATCGGTCATCTAGTGCCAATCGAGTGATCTAACTTTGCATCATCGCTAGGATTGAGTGGCGAGGCAAGTTGAGTGGCTAATCCTTTGGAAAATGATTGTGAAAATGCCAACACACATACACATGGTGGTGTACATTTGGTGGTGTTGGCACATTTACAAAGGAGATAAAGTCGGAGTTGATGTGGATCAACTCGGCGATGGAACGGAGGCGAGAAAGGTTCAAAACTCCACCGGCGGAGTGTCCGCCCGTAGAGTGCAGACAGTCCGACGGTGACACCAGCGCCCTATTTAGAAAAGACAGGGTTTCACAGTGTGCACTGGACACTGGTCACGCAGTGACCGGATGTTGGGGTCCTACGTCCGGTCAGTGGCAGTAGTGAGCATACGGTCTCGATCTCGTGACCGAACACTGGCGTGAAGAGTGACCAGACGCTCAGGGTCTGCGTCCGGCCAGTGCTGACATATGGTGACATAGGCAGCGCTGGAGTTAGGTGCGTGCGCATAAAATTGATCAAACGCTGGTCTGTGTCCGGTCATGGTAGACCGGACGCGTCCGGTCGCAAAATAGAGGCTCGGGGAGCTCTCTAGAAATGATCGGACTCAGGCGCTGCAGCGTCCGGTCATTCACTGTGCAGCGTCCGGTCGCAACTTGACCATTGAGATTGGGTGGCTCTGGTTGAACGCAGAGCGACACGTGGACGGTGTAGAGCGACTGGACGCTGGCAGGGTGCGTCCGGTCAAACTGACCAGAGCGTCCGGTCGTCCTGAAATTTGCCCAGTGAAGGGATAACGGCTAGTTTAGCCCATGGGGCTATAAATAGAAGGTGGTCTCGGCCATGGCTTGAGCTGAGCACCTTGGGGGACTTTGTGTCCATCCTTGAGAGTGCTTGGGAGCCCTCCATCTCACATATGTTTGATAGTGATCATCCAATTGTGTGAGAGAGTGATTCTAGTGTGATTGCATCGTGAGGTTACATCGAGTGACACTAGGTGATCGAGTTGCAAGCTGGTGGTGCTTGTTACTCTTGGAGGTTGCCACCTCCTAGATGGCTTGGTGGTGGTCTCCGTCGAAGCCCGCAAGAAGCTTGTGCGGTGCTTCGAAGAAGAGCTTTGTGAGGGGCATTATGCTCGCCCCGCGGGAGCCGCAAAGAGCAACTCTTGTTGAGCAAGCACGTGAACATCGGGAGAAAATCACCGTATCAACCTTGTTCTTCCTGTTGGTTTGCAATCCTCTTACACATGCTTGTGATTACTTTTATATACATTGTGCTTGTGTAGTTGCTCTTGTAATTAGTTAGCTTGTGTAGCTCACTAGTTACCTTCTTGCTTGTGTAGCATAGAAGTAGCTCCCTTGCGTGGCTAATTTGGTTAGTGTAACCTTGTTAGTCACTTTGCTTAGTTTGTGTAGCTAAATATTTGCGCTCTCTAATTTGACATTGGTTGCATTGTTATTGAGCATTGCTAGTGAGCTTAGTTGGCTTTGTGCTTTTGCTTACTAGCATGTATAGGAGCTCCCTCATTACTTGAAATACTAGTGGCATAGGTTTGTGTGACCTTGCTCCTAGAATTGGTTAGGTGAGCTCTAGTTAGCCTGGCACCTTTGTTGCTTAATTAGGATCTTTGCAAGGTGCTAGAGAACATAGATAGAGGAGTGTAGTCTTGGCTAGACCGATAGTTTTAATTCTGCACTTGTTTTGGTTAGCTGACACGATTAAGTTTTAGAAACGACTATTCACCTCCCCTCTAGTCGCCATCTCGACCCTACAGTTGCATCACTCCACCACCCCGTTATGCTGCGGTGTAGAGGTGCCGCACCACGCTACAATTGACACAGTATTCACATAATTCCAACAAGGTGAACTCCCCTCCTTGGTCCGTCCTCAGCACATGCGGCCTCTCTCTAGGTCCATCCTTAGCACGTGCAGCCTCTTTCTGGACTCCGCCTCCAACGGTACCTGGAAGTTCTTGATCGCTATTACCACCTCGTCCACTCTCACCAGCAGCAGGAAGTTGTGGTGCCATCCATGCGTCACCGGGGTGATTGGCCCTTAGAGGTCGACGTGCATGAGCTCGAGGTCGTTGGCATAGTACTTCACCATTTTTGGGAATGGCAACTCCTCTGCTTCCCCACCACACAGTTGTTGCATAGCTCACCGGCATACTTGATGAGCGGGAGGCCATGACCATCTCCTCCCGTGCATGGCTCCCTAGCGTGTTGAAGATGAGATGCCCAAACCGGGCATGCCACATCCATGGCTCATCGTCCTACCTCGTCGTCAAGAACACTGACTGCACTGGACGGAGGTCTAGCACATACAACCGGTTCATGGAGTGATTCACTTTGGCAAGGAGACGACACTCATAGTTGTGGATGCGTAGGACGTCATTGTCGATGAGGACTTGGCATCCGCAATCGTTAAGCTACCCGATGCTGACGATGATCGACTGCAGCCCTCTGTTAGCGCTCGATGCTCGCCATTCAGGCACCTGAAGAGGATGGTCCTATGCCGGTGATGTCAACCATTGAGCCATCGCCAAACCATCTTCGCGAATGCTTCTTTGTTGCCGATCATGTAGTTGCTGGCGCCGGAGTCTAGGTGCCACCTCTATTCCATGTCACTACATTCACACCCGAGGTGGACTTAGACGCGCGATTTGTCAAGGCAAATGCTCTGCTTCACCACCAACTCTGGCTTCACAACATCGTTCAGCGCGCACACCCGCGCCATTAGGAGCACTGGCTCATCGTCCTTCGCCTGCGGATGAGCTTGTTCCTCCTTCACCGGCTCCGGTTCCTCCACAACATCGTTCAGCGCGCACACCCACAATATTAGGAGCACTGGCTCATCATCCTCCGCCTGCGTGAGATGAGCGTGTTCCTTCTTCTTGGAATTCTTGCAATCCTAAGCCTAGTGGCTAGTCTTGATGCACTTACGGCAAGTGTCATGGTCAGAGACGCACGACACATCACCGCCGTCCTTCTGTTGTGGTGGTTTGACACGGTACTTCCCTACGCCACATCGATAGGACGACCTGGAGGAGCCCTCCCTAGGCTGCCACTTGCGCATGCGAACCGCCCACTCCTTGGCCCGCTGTAGTTTGTCGCTGGTCATAGTTGTCGCCAGGGCTTCAACCCGCACATCCACTGCCTTGAGCCGCCCTATCACATCGTCGATGGTGAGCGTGGATAGGTCGATCCGCGTCTCAATTGAGAGCGGGATTTGCGAATACTTGGCGGGCACCACTCGTAGGTACTTGGAGATGATGTCCTCCTAGTCGATGGTAATGCCAAGCAAGACGAGCTAGCTGACTAGCGACTACAAGCGGAGCGTGAAGTCCTCCACCACTTCCCCCTAGCAAAACGCGAGGGCCTCATAAACCAGTCGAAGCTGCTGTGCCTTCGCCTTCTTCACGCTGTCTAAGCCCACGTACATGGCCTTGACGGCATCCCGAGCTTGTTTCACGGTGTCCTTGCCGTCGAACGACTCCACGTACTCCGAAGGAACGACACGCAGGATCACCCCATGGCAGTGCAATCCTCATCTTCGTCCTCGATGCCGATGTCGATGGCGCACCACAGCTTCCGCACCCTCAACATCACCTCATCAGCACCGCCCACTCACCGTAGTTGGTGTGGATAAGAACGGGGTACTGAGCGCCGCCAGCCTCCCTCACCGTCCGCTGCACCGTGACTTCCCATCGTGTTTGTGACAGGGACTTCCGTGGTGAAGTGTTGGGCGGGGTCTTGGGAGGCGTCATGCTGCCGCTGCCATTTGCACCACCTGGCATCGCCGACGATCTCCTTGGCTCTAATACCATTTGCTGGTAGCCGACAACCCTACAAAGGTGAGCAGCAGCTCAGTCACACACACTGAATTAGGCTGGAGGTAGACGAGAGGAAGTGAGAATAGAGCACACAAACGCATACAAGTGCAGAAGTTGAACTAAACTGCCTCCAACCCATTCTTTTGCATAGAATATATATACAACTTTAGGATTGGTGAGAAATTCACCAACTACGATGCTGCTAGTACCTACTTCAACTACAGCCACTACCTGCTACTACTGTTGGCCATACATCATCCACTATTTTGGCACATACTACTACACTAATAGAAAGGACAGCAGAGTTGACCTATTATCTGACTCTGCTGCAACAACACAACAAGAACAAGCAAACAGATTACCTTACATGGAGAACGTAACAATATAGATATTATTCAATTTGGTATTATTTAAACATGTGCAGGCACCGAATATCATTTGGTTCCCCATGTCGAGTCTCGAGACCAGCCCCAAGACAACCAACAAGGTGCTTAGGCCCATTTACTGTTTGGAGCAAGGGAATTTTTCCCGTTCCTCCATTTCTTGTATTCTATACGGGGAAAAAAATATTCAGATTCAATCATCCCAAAACTACTAATATATTATATTTATCATATCAAATAGGTACGTAGAAGGGAAGATGGGATTAACAACACCCTAAGAGATGCTCCGATGGATGATTCACAATTCAATCTGCAAACTCATCTATGAATTATCGGTTGTTGCACGAAATAAATCGAAGACAGAACGGATCAAGATGGTATCTACCTCGCAGTCGCCCAAAGCGTATGCCGCCGCCGCCGCCGCCGCGCTGGATTGTATGGGAGTACGGCGTCGCCCTGCGCGTAGACGAATGCAACAGGAAGGAGTTTGGGAAGGCGGCGGCGGCGCGTTAGGGTTTTTTCGGTTGCCTGGGCCTGGCTGGCGGGGCGCTCGGGCCTGGAGGAACCTAAATGGGCCGAGCCTTTCCTTGACGAATATCTGGGGAGACCGGGCCACTGGCGAGAGCTAGTGAGGCCGCATGATGGGCTGATGGGCAGACGATGGCCCATGCAGACGTGGAGATGGACCAGTCCGGCCAGCCCAAGAACTCTAGAAGCCTACAATGCTACTGCTCCCGCCTCTCCGCTTCGTCTGCAACCTCCGTCATCCCCATTGAGCAGTCGGGCGGCGGCAGCGACACTCGCACTTCCGGGGCCGGGGCAGTTGGTACCGACGGAGGGGAGGTAGGGCTGCCCTACCTCGCACTATCGGTCGGTCCACCTCTGGGTGCATTTCCCGCTCGCTTAGCGGTGCCGGTCAGGCCATGGAACGGGAGGACGCCGACGGCGCTCTCGATTTGTGGGCCCAATTCTGCTCTCTCTCCAACGAGCTTCTCACCGGCGACGGTGATATCACCGTGGGCCCACGCTTAGCTCCCGTCGTTGCCAACCTCTGCACACGCGGCCTTGCCACGCTCGTCCGTGACTACTCCCTCCACTCCCTCGAGGTCCATACCGTACCCTCTCCTTCCCGTTCCCTTCTTCCTCTCTAATGCGTGAGCGCGCACGCATAACTACTGATGGGCTGGGTTGCTATTACCGTATTCCGGTGGAGGTTTGGGCGGTGGGTAGCTGCAGGGTGTGAAGGTTCGCGTCTGCTGCATACTAGGTGTTTGTGAGAATGCCTGCACCAAATGGCTGGGGACCATATGCGAGGATGGAATCAGGATCCTGTCCTGAGCTCGGGTGTTTATGGAAATGATGCCCAAGTGAAATCTTAGTGCTGGAGTGTAGGATTTACAAATGTGGCGCTCAGCTTTCTTTTCAAGTTCTTAACTTTCAACGCTAAAATGTTCCTAATGTTTTCAAAAGTTTTCTGTTTTATCCAGTTTCTGTTGTCAACCTGTCCTTGTTGGTGCAGGAAACCTTTCGAAACAATGCAGTCAAGAAGTTCTGGCAGCACTTTCATCCTTATTGCAATGCCTCGACCGTTGAGAGAATTAAGTTCTGTGTAAGTTATGGTAAACCTAATTTCCATGTCTGATCATACCTTTATTTTGGAATGGAGATTTCAATTTTATAAAGAAACGGTGTCTTACTTGTTTCCTATTTAGATTATCTTTTCTCCTACAAGTATGTGGTACCCTACATATATCATGAATCATAAAAAATAAAATGACCTGTTTTCATTTTATTATAGTTTGATGGCGTGGACTCTTAACGCCTGTTTTTACCTGGTTGTTCTCTCTTTTTAAGAAAAAATAACAAAACCTCTCAATTCATGCATTAGGTTAAGGAAAATTGGCCTGAAGAAATCTTAAGTAAAGCACTGGAGGACATATGCTTGGAAAAGGGTTACCAGGAAAAATGTGTTCTTGTTCTTGTCCATGCTTTTCAATCATATGAGGATAGGGCGCCGCAAAAACAATTCAAAGCAGTGGACTGTATTTCCAGCTTAATGGCTAGGTATCAGTTAATGGTATCATCAGTACTTCTGACAACACTGCCCTTGAGCTTTCCTGGTTAGTATCATTTCTTCTGTTTTGTGAGTAGAGAAGGCCTTTTCTTAATGCTGTATTGGTCACAGTTGTTTCCACCAGCTTATAGTGACCATGTAGTTTACTGTTCCTTTGAATAATACTCTACACACAAGAAAAAAATTGATACACACATGTTGTTCACTGTTTCTTTGAATAATGCTCTACACACATGAAAAATGATACATAGCTGAGCACAAACAGCGCCCTGTTTCCTCTTTGTTGTCCAGGTACCAGTTGTTCCCATGGTTTGGTCCTGTGATGGCAACACCTGGTCTTTCACTAAGCTGCTGACTAGGGCAAGTTAGGTTCGCTGATATGTGTACTAAATTGGACCTTCCCCTTTCACCTACGCTTAGGGTTAGCTCACATAATTCCTTGGGTTGATATAGGGATTTTATAGCATTTGTCACCTCCTTCAGAAACTATCACTGTACAGTACTTTAGTGAGTACATGCTTGTGCACATTGATATCCTTGCAAGGCATAATCACTGACAAACTGATTTCGACTATATTTTACCAGATGCATTCTTCATTGTAATAGTTAATTCTAAATTAAAAGTCAGAATTAGTATATTCAACCGGTGTTCTGTTACCACATTAAAATGTTGCACTTTGTAAAATGAAAGTGTTCATTCTTCTCTGTCACTTTTCAGAGATATTGAATATCTATTTCAAGAAGAAGCTGGAAGAACTTAATACTATTATGGCTGGATCTTATGAGAGTGATGAACTTGTGGATCATGAACCTTTTCAAAGAAGTAATACTTCTGATTGGCATTCTGTAATGGACATTGATGGGTCAGAAGTTTCAGAAAGTAGCTCCTTGGTAAAGAACATTGGAAAAGTTGTTCGTGGTCTTAGATGTATTGGTTTTACATCAATGACTGAAGATGCTTATTCCTCTGCAATAATATGGCTTTTAAAGGTCTGCATCACTTATTTTGGCATATCTACTATTGAAGTTCTTATAACTGACCTTGTATTATCTCTCATTCTCACTCTGCAGTCTAAGGTTTATGAACTAGCTGGTGATGATTATAGAGTTCCTGTCCTTGGGTGTGTGAAGAAGTGGATTCAGGTACCATCTCATCTCACCATTTTGCAAAGTACAAAATTTGGGCCTTCAATTATATATTTTGTCCACCCATGTTCTCTGACATAAAATTCGGCTCCATGCTCTTTTAACATATCTCGGTGACTCTGTGGACTATGACAGTGGATCTTCTGGTCTCAAATCACCATTAGCTTCACGTCCTTCTTCCTTCCCAGGGATTGGTGTTCCTTCTGAAGCCCTTGTGAGATGGCACATGCGCCTTGAATATTTTGCTTATGAAACCTTGCAGGACCTACGAATTGGCAAACTTTTTGAAATAATTGTAGATTATCCTGAGAGGTCAGTCATTTCCCCTGTATGGTGCTGCGATATTCTGTAGGGGCTTTGACAATCCAAATATTGTATACGCTTGAATAGTTTTCTTGACTGATGTTATGTGAAGCTTACCATACATAGACTTTGGCAACTTGATTTATGAGATAACTTTTGCAACGTGTTTTTCCTAACAGTGTCCATCTGGACAACATTTATGTTATCGCATGCTATCCTCACCTAACTGGAGGAATTTCTTAATATGATATTGTGGCTCAGATATGCATCTCATCATTTCTGGTTTTTTTAATCTGTATGGCTACTGAGTTTTGTTCTTTGCTCCTTCTCAATTCCTTAAAACAAACATCCTATTTTGTTTCATCTATCATACTGTGCATATACTTTCAATACTCTTTTTATTTGATCTTTAGGCTTTGATCAAGTTTGTTAATACATCTATATGAAACTTCTGACCTACCATATGAATGCTAGTTTGGTTTTTCTATTGTTACTATCTTATGTAACCCAATCCATATCCATTTTTTGGGCCTTTTTTATGTAGCTCTCCGCTATTGAAGACCTAAAGCTGTGTTTAGAGTACACGGGCCAACACGCTAAGCTTGTTGATTCATTTATCTCGTCGCTTAGATATCGCTCTACTTACTGCTGGTGCATCAACAAATGATATATTGCACCAATATGTGTCCACTATCAAGGCATTGCGGACAATTGACCCCACCGGGGTGTTCTTGGAGGCAGTTGGTGAACCAATTAGGGATTATCTGAGGGGTAGAAAAGACACTATCAAATGCATAGTAACAATGCTAACTGATGGATCTGGAGGAAGTGCAAGTGGAACAGGAAATGCAGGTGACAATCTTCTGGAAGAGTTGAACAGAGATGCTGAAAACCAGGAAAATGCTGATTACGACGATCATGCAAACATTGATGAGAAACAAGCATGGCTAAATTCTGAAAGGTATATCTTCTTCATTCTAGTGATCATAACGTCGCTTATTCTGTGAGTTCTAAGAAAGTTTGCCCCTCTAAATGTGGTTCCTTACTGTGATTTGAACTTTTACAGCTGGGAACCTGATCCTGTAGAAGCAGGCCCATTGAAAGGCATCAGGAACAGAAGGAAAGTCGATATACTTGGACTAATGGTTAGTATAATTGGCTCAAAGGACCAACTAGTCAACGAATACCGTGTAATGCTGGCAGAAAAGCTGCTCAACAAATCTGACTTTGAAATTGATTCAGACATTCGCACGTTGGAACTCCTGAAGGTTAGACTATTAATTTTATGATAGACCTATTCTTAATTGTGTTTCCAAGAGATTTGCCTATGCCACATGACACAGCATTCCTTCACTATAGCAGTGATATTGTTATTTGGCAGATTCATTTTGGTGAGAGCAGCATGCAGAAGTGTGAGATTATGCTTAATGACTTGATTGACTCAAAGAGAACCAACTCAAACATTAAAACATCTTTGCTGAAGACATCCCAAACTGGTACTGCTCAAATATCACAAGTCCCTTACAAAACAAAGTTTAATATACTGCAACATCTGTACACTTCCTTTTTGTTGGCAGTTCCTGGGCAAGAGGAGGCAGAAGTGTCTCATGATGTTCTGGATGCCACTATAATATCGTCTAACTTTTGGCCACCAATTCAGGTATGCCCTAAGGATGTTTTAATGGTGGTAGTTCTGGAGCTAAATCAGTAGCATTTTACCTATTTCACCCTTTATCTCTGCTTAGACAGATGACTAGTGAGTCAGGGCCTATCAACTTTTTTTGAGGGTAAACAGTAGCGGGAACCACTATGGTGGTGTATAGAAAGTCTGTACACCCAAGAAGAATAATCTCAATATCTTCAAGCTATACTAATTGTGATATGGAGATACTAATTGACTAATCAGTCAGAACCTATTGACAGTTGTAAAATTGATATGTTCTGACTCTAGTCAATCAAGTACTAAACTCTGAATTGGCAAGATCAGTTCTGCATCAATTAGCATGCTATCTTGTCGAATCAACAGACATATGCTTCATTAATTACTGAATATGTCATCACAACTGTTAAATAACTAAAGTATTTCAATGTTGTTTGGATAATTGACTGTCAAAAAAATTCTACACCAACATTTGTTGTTTATATCTTAGTTTATTTCAACACTAGTGTTTTCGTGACGGAATGTTGAATCTTTAGGAGATACTGTAATTTGAGCAGTCTGTATTTTCTCTCTCTTGTATGTTCTTTTTATTCACCAGCCTCGTGTATCCGGTATGAATGCAGACAGAAGACCTTGTTGTTCCTGCTTCAGTTGATCAGTTGCTATCTGATTACGCAAAACGGTTTCACCAGATAAAAACTCCACGAAAGCTATTATGGAAGAAAAATCTTGGAACAGTCAAGGTTGGAAAAACAGATTTAGTTAATGGGTACTATGAAAACATATCTTGGTATGTGAAGTGGGTATAAGCTATAACACTCTCTTTGCTTTTGCAGTTAGAACTGCAATTTGAGGGAAGAAGCATGCAGTTTACTGTAGCTCCTGTGCATGCTGCAATCATAATGCAATTTCAAGAAAAATCTAGGTATTTAAAGAACTGTATTATTGTATGTATCATCTGTACTCTTTTGACTAATCTATCGAACTTTGCAGTTGGACCTCAAAGACACTTGCTACAGAAATTGGCATACCTATGGATTCTCTTAACAGAAGAATAAGCTTCTGGACAAGCAAGGTCTGGCACACATGTATCAGTGACTAATTGTTACTTCTTTTTTTTTATGTGAAATATGCTTGTCATTATGCAGATCATGGTAACATGACCATCGAAACTGGAGTGTAATTGATATTAATGTATATTAGCTGTTTGGACTAAAATTTGATGGACTAGACAGTTGATCACACACTGATCTAGAGTTGTACACAAGCTATATAATTTGCATTTCATTATCTGTGGAAATAAATTCTGGATATTCTCAATCTTATACATGCCCTAGGCTGCATGATGTCTGTACAATCATTTTTCCTTGCATAATTGTTAGCTTCGGTCTGTTTAAGAAGCAGATTTAACAATTCTGTAATTTGATATAGGGGGGTCCTGACTGAATCAGCAGGACCAGATGCCGATGATCGCACCTTTACTGTTGTTGATAGCATGCCTGATGTCAACAAAAACAGTATTGTGAATGAACGCTTGGCAGAGTATCAGATGACTGAGGAGGAAGGTGAAAGCTCTGTGGCTTCAGTGGAGGATCAACTTAAGAAAGAAATGACAGTTTACGAGGTATGGCTCGAAAGGAAGAAATACTGAATAAATATATATTTACATTTTGTTTGTGCTCACTTTTGAACCATTGGGATGCCGTATGCCCTGCAGAAATTCATCATCGGAATGCTAACCAATTTTGGGAGTATGTCGCTGGACAGGGTACATAACACTTTAAAGGTAAGACCAAAACATGGCCTTTTTTTCTCTCTACTTCGCATTTTGATCTCTTTTTAAATTTCTCATTTTTCAGATGTTCTGTATTGCTGAGCCGTCATACGACAAGTCACTGCAGCAGCTCCAAAGTTTTCTTTCTGGTCTAATAGCGGATGAAAAGCTAGAAACGAGGGATGGTCTGTACTTGCTAAAGAGGTAGCACTGTAGCAGTCATTCTATACTAGGATAGTGCGTTGTTAGACTAGGGTAGTAGGGTTGTACTACTTGCTAATGAGTTGTTTAGACTAGAGACGTCGGGTAATCTGACACAACATACTTCATTATCAACGCTATGTCATCGTGTTCCACGAAATGTCTTAGTGTTATATCCTAGGAACTAAAGAAGTGGAGTAAGTATCAGCGTCCTTGGTGCCCCACTATTGTGTATTTTCACTCTCTGAGCACCTTTGATATTCTTAGATTTCCAAAGAATCAGTGCAAGCAACTTATCTCCTCTATAAGGATGGAATTTTGGACGGAAAGCTTTGATCTCATGCTCCACGTCATCATATAACCTTATGCTCCTCTATATGTGGCGTGAGACTTGATCGATAGATTGGCTTTGAGTTGGGCCGAGCCGTATATATATTGAAGACTTTCTTCATGGTTGGCTAGCTGTGATCGCGGCGACGACCTAGCTCCCCAGGACACGACGCCATCCGCCGCCGCTGACGACAACGAGGAGGTGATCCTTGGCCTCCGCATTCTGCTCTCCCCCTAGCCCCGTATGCCGCCCCCCCCCTATAAGATCAGGCCGCGCGCGGAGTCCCTGCGCCCTAAGTACCGTACGTGTAGAGTTGTAGTACGTACACCCTTTCTTGCTGCTTTTTTAATTCGACACACCGTATAGTACCTGATCCTGATCGATCGTCGATACACATGCATGCGAACACAACAATATTCTTCTCTTGGCCTGATAAATATCATTCCTAGTTCTTAGGTTAATTTGCATGCATGTTCGATATATATGATCGATAACTAGTTCTTAGGTTGCAAATTGTTGAGATCGAGTGTGCTGATATATATGATGATTGCATTGTCTACATCTACCACTTCCCGTTTGGTTTTGGTATAACTGAATACATATGCATGATACTAAAATTAATGATCATTGTACGTACGTGTGCTTGGTGTGTTTAGATGCTGATTTTGGTGAAGAATCTCAACGGCAGAACAGTGTCCGTCAAAGTGGAGTTCTCTTCAGACAAGCAGCCTGTTCGGGAGGCCGTATCGTATCGTGGATTATTTACTGCTGGCTGGTTTGGTGTGAGAGAAAAACACGGTTCCCGGCTGGAAATTTACGATCGTTTACGAGCAAGCGAACAGGCTGACGGTTGCCAGCGTCAAGGCAAAGCTTGAACCTTTTATACTCCGCCAGGATTCTCAGAGATGGGCACAAGCTTTCCGATTACAACGTCAAGGAGGAATCCACCTTGCACCTTCTCATGCGTCCTGTCTCCTGCGGTGGCGGATGCTGCGGTAGTGACGACGACACAGCATCTATATCTACGTCCAGACACGCACGAGCAAGAATCTCGCGCTCCAAGTGGAGCCATCGTCAGACACGGTCGCCGACGTCAGGAGAAAGATCAGTGGCCACCAGAGCCTGTTCTTGGCCGGCGGCAACAAGCTCGAGGATGATCGGACGTTTGGATCCTATTGTGAGATCCAGAACGATACCATAACTAGAATTTTTTTTATAGGTGGCTTGTAACCCTTGTAAAGTTAGAGCAAGTTTGTATTTCACTATTTACTAATAAAATTGCTCTAGTGATCTTGTAGATTTTTAAATAGGCTATTCACCCCTCTCTAGCCATATTAGGACCTTTCAGCCCCTTTCTTCTACAAGCATAGCATATGCGGCCTTCATTTGCTCTATGCTTGTTTTACTTGTTGGGACACCTATTGATCATGTGCCCCGTCTCATTGCATCCATATAATCTTCTTGTTATAACTTGAGCCTTCTTTCTTGCCTCTTTGTACAAGGGGCAAGGTTGGTGGGATGGCCCAACTTCCTGTAAATGAGACAAGCACTTGGCTCATCACTCTTCACTTGCTTGACCACTTTGGTAGAAGCTTTTTGTTCGGCGGCTTCAATCTTGTCATCCCAACTCTTGTGTGGACACATGGCCCACTTATGTCCATATAATCGACAACCATAGCATAGTCATTTTCTATGCTTCTTGCCCTTGGTTGTTTTGACATTGCTTTCTTTTGTTGGGTTTTGGAGAGAGCAAGGTTTGAACCCTTCTCAAGCTTCTTCACCATGTGATCATGGTTATCTTGAGAAGGTTGTGCTTCCTCCTTACCCTTCAACTGAATCACATCCTTTCTTAGCCTTTCAACTTCTTCTTTAAGCTCATTATTTTCTAATACATTTTGCTCAATCGAAGATTGGCTTGCTTGAGAAAAACACTCATTAGTACAAGAAATATTCAATTGAGATGGTGTACATGTGAGTGTGTGAGTGAGAGGTTGAGACGATTTTACCGATGTAATCACAACCTCATGAGCTACCTCAAGCATGAAATGTGATTCTACTAATTTTTCATGTGAGCACTTTAGCTGAACATGGTTGGCTAGGAGAACATTATATTTACTTGATAGTTCATCTAGTCTTGTCTTGAGCTCAATGTTTTTCTTTTCTAGTTGTGTCACGCTAGAAGAGGAATTAGTAACTAAAGCATACTCATTTGACAATTTTTCATATCTTTCATTTAGAGCCTTTAGTTCTTCCAACTTGGAGATGAGAAACATTTCTTGCTTTTGGAGTGATTGTTCTTGCTTCTCATTCTCCTCTTCTAACTCATCATTCTTTTCAACTATCTTCATGATGATGAATTTGTCCTTGTGATTGAGATGATCAAGGTTGTAGTTGTCTTCAACTTCAACATCACTCTTGTCTTGATCATCCACTTATGCTTTCTCCTTCACTTGATCTTTCTTGGAGACTTTCTTCTTGCTTTTCTTGGCCATGAGACACAAGTGATGAGAATCATGAGATACTTGAGGTTGACTCATCACTTGGTCGCCATCGAGCTTGATCAATGTCGCAGAGGTCGACTTGTTGCCTTGCTATCGCAGGCGAGACTGGGACACGTCGGTATTTGCGACCGGACAACACGCCATCTCAAGCGACTTGCACTTCTTGCTCCGACTCGATGCTTTGTTGGTTCCTTGAGGCTTCTTCATCTGCATGAAGATTCAATGGACATGTTTTCCATTGACTCGAGCTCATATGCATCATCGCATTTGGATTTTCCATATAACTCAACAAGTCTAGTCCAAATGAGATGAGCACTCTTCTGAGGTGGTTGTCCATTGAAAATAGCCTCATCTATAACCTATGCACTCAATGTACTCAACATGACATTAATTGCTTGAGCATTGAGTTGCACACATATTCTTCCTCTTTTGGAATATTTTTGTAGTTGCTCCAATCAACCACCGGAAGAGGTATGCTTGCATTCACAATATGCTCAACAAGAGAACTAATAGTCCTAAAAGCATTGAGTACATGAATTGACCAAGGTAGAAAGTTTGAACCATCATTTTGGAGAAGCACCGGCTCCAACTCGTTAGGCATCGACATTCTTTTTTCTCATGGCGGTGAAGCTTTTAGTGAGTTCTTGTTCGATACCAATTGAAAGGACCGAGGATGCCGCCTAGAGGAGGGGTGAATAGGTGTTTCTAAAAATTCAACCATTCAAAATGAAAAAACATTAGTGTCTTGAAAACTCTTAATCAGATAAATAAACCCCTCACGAGTTAGCAAACAAAGTAAACAAGGTATATGTAAGGTATCTATGAGCTAAAACCCTGCACCACAAAGGTTAGAAATGAGATTCAATAAAAACAGTAGAGTCCACAAATACCGGACACGTCCGGTATACACGGGTTTTGCCCGATCAGCTCCCAACTTGATCCTTTCGATTTCTCCTTTCACACCAAGTTGCTGGCACTTAGTAGTAACCTGTTCACAAGCTCAAGCAACACATGTGGATCACAAATACTCAATGAAAAGAGAGATCGAGACACACGATGTGTTTTACCGAAGTTCGGCCTCCATCGAGACCTACTCTCCGTTGAGGGGGCTGTGAGCGACCTAGCATAGGTCAGCTCTAGAGGACCACGAAGGCCACTCTAGCCAGAGTCTTTTTCAACTTTTTTTCTCCTTCCACTAGCTTGATTCCTTCCCTTTGCGGCGGTGGAATCGAATCGTTATAAACTTTTCGAGGCACACCACAATGTCTTGAGTGCTCTCCGGCGATGCCTAGCTGTCTAGAATCGAAGAGTCCAAGAGTAACAAATACAAATCACAAGATCGATAATATGCACAAGTGTTCAAGGGTGGCTTGCTCTCAAATTTGAATCTCACTCAACCCATAAGATAGATTTTGCAAGTTTGAATTAATCACTCACTAAGAGAGGGTTAGAGAGTGTTCTCAAGACTCAAAAATGTGTCTGGAAGTCAGCAGAATCAGCAGCCTCCAAAGGTGGAGGCTAAGGGGTATTTATAGTCCCTTTGAAAAACTAGCCGTTATGTGACAGTTGGGCAATACTTGGCCGTACAGCCTCAATGGTCACTTTGTCAGTGACGCGCGAGATGTTGGAACTCCCGACGATCGCCGGAACTCCCGACCCTAGAAACTCCCGACTCACGCCGAACTCCCGACGAACCAAGTCGAGACAACGAAGAAATTGCTCGATTGGCAAATACCGGACACGTCCCAGGTATGTCCCAGATTGCTGCATCAGCAGAGAAAACAAGTTAGCTCTTTTGTCTATCAAACACTCAAATCTCACATGGATTGGCTTGAGCACTCATAAATGATTATCTATCAACATGATGCATCCCTCTTAATAGTACGGCATACCTATTAACTCGAGATCAAATGAAAATAGATTTTGAAGCACTTGAGTTGAATTTCCTTGAACCAAAATGCCATAGCCTTCAATCTTCATCAAGTGAGGGTGTCAACATGTTGATTTTGATTTTATCCTTGAGCATTGCCATCTTAAGCATTTGACTTAATTCCATTCAACATATGAGAGTTGGGTTCAAAGATATCAAGTCATCTCGTTATAAAGTCATCTAGGATTTGATTCTTCACTTCAGTATGACCAACATGATTTGATTGGTGCCTTGACTAAATGCAA